GCGCCATAGGAAGAGTGGGACCAGCTTCCAGGCTGTTTGCGGTCGCCCAGTTTCGATGCAGGCGGGAGGACAGTGACGACAATGAGGACTGCCGCGACGAGGGGTCAAGACGTTCAAAAGACTGAGCTTCTGAATGGCTAGGCGATGAGCTTCGAGCAATGGGAGACATGTCTTTTAGAGCGTCAGGTTGATTGACTTGGCCGGAAGCACATGTAGTGCTGATTGCCAGGCTTGGGACGCCATGGGCATCGTCGTCTCCACCAACGAGTCTATCGATTGACCTCGCGCGGCTATGTTCTTTTGGGGGCTTCAATTTGTCTCTGCTTCTCATGCTGTTGACGACACGCCGTGGCAGACCACCAAATAGACCACCCAACTGTGAGCCACCAGGTGTATCTAGAGCCGTTGGGGTACCGGGTAGAGCTGGAGGAAATCCTGGAGATGCGGTTCGACCGGGAACCAGATCCGCTTGACGAATGGTGCTTATGGAAGAGATGGCGCGGTCTTGCATTGGCGGTCGCTGTTGGCTCTCCAGCATCTGGGCGGGTGATGCAGTACGGGAGTTGGGACTGTCAAAGTATCTTGACCTTTCTCTCGCCTCCGGACTTGCTGTAACACTGTGAGAGAGCGGATGCTCAGCTTCACGCGAGCGAGTCAGAATCTCTAGGATAGCACCGGGTGCTAGACTGCCACGTCGGCCTTCGTAGGGCCGGGCGTCTTGACTGATGGTACTACTCGAAGAGTTTGCGCTGATGTTGGGGGGCGCGTCCTGGTTGGTAGCTGAGCTCTGCGCACGGCGTCTTGAACCTGAACTGCGAGTTGTGAACCCTTTGACAAACTCGGATGTCTTCTTAGCGGCTGAGCGGAGGCGGTCGACGAAACCAATAGGGACAACGGCCTCTTCGACATCCTCTTTAGAAATCTGAATCCTTCTTCCATCATAGGACTTGCTAGGGTCTGTCTCTTCTGCCCATGAGATGTGGTTGGGAATACCGGATAGCAGCCACGGGTGGCGCTTGATCTCTGGTATAGTGATGCGACGTCGCGCATCCTTGATCAGCAATCGTCGCAGTAGGTCACGTAAGTTTTCATCAACCTCTTCGTATTCGAGGTCATGCGGTGCTCTCTTGGTGCTCGTCATTGGCTGACTGTTGCGTCCGTGTGAGTTGGGCCGCGAGTTTGATTGCTCAGCGACGGGTTTCAGCCGATACCTAGGGATGTAGGGCTCGTCTTCGCTGATGACCTTCATCAGCGTGAATGTGTTTGTGTCGTGAAAAGGCACGCGCCCGTAAATAAGGCAGTACAGTGTGACGCCGAGAGCCCAGATATCGATCCCGCCGTCGATGAGGGGAGTCTCTGCGTCAATCTCTGTACGGCAGAGCTCGGGGGCGTAGAAGGCCGGGGTTCCCACAGTCTTCGCCAGCTCAATGGCTTCGTCAACCTCCTGGTAGTCCGACTCAGAGTGTTCGCCGTTGCTTTCATCAGTCTTTTGCCGTCCCAAGTACGACACACCAAAGTCAGATATCTTGATGCGATGCTCCCTGGTTACAAGAAGATTGGCAGGTTTGATGTCTCGATGGATGACGTTCTGATAGTGCAGGTATTCTATACCCAAGACAGTGTCCTTGAAGGCTTCCCAAGCTGCATGCATAGTCATCAGAGGGACGTAATTGAAATGTTCAGGGATCTCTTCGCCAGAGTCGGTCACACGTGACGAGGAGCTGCCAGCAACGCTCGGTACGCGGCCTCGGATGAGCTCCGTGTCGTAAGGGCCGTACATGGTTCCCTCAAGCCCGTCGGCCCAAGAGTTGTTTACGGGCTCAGGCGATCGGAAAGCGGTCTCCATGTGGTCTTCGTGGTGGCCTGCGACGTCTGATCGCTCGCGAAACTGGACGCGGCTGTGCGGACGCTCGTCTTCTAGATGGGATGCTTGCGAGCCACGTCCGTTGTCGGAGCCCTCGTCTTCAGAGTCGGTTGCAAACTCCAAGCTCCAGGGTTGGTTGGAGGAGCCGTCTTTCCGACGTAGGTGAGCCTCTCTGGCCATGCGACGTTGCTGGCGGGCAAGCTTCTGGTGGGCGATGCGGATGATCCTTTCGTCTTCTAACGTGGCACTGTCATTGTCGAAGATGCCCTGGGACTCGCGCTTGAAGCGACGCCATTCGACGAGGCAGATCTCCCTGGCACCCTCAGTCCGCCACTTGACCTCGCCCAGCTCGACGTGCTCGAGTACGATATAGACCTTCTTCTTAGCTGGGTCATCTATAACCTCGAGCAAGCTGACAATGTTGGGGTGGCGGGCCTTCTTGAGGATGGCTATCTCGCGCTTGATCTTGTCTTCGTGGCTGTTGTTCTTGCCGAGGCGGCGACGTTTGGAGTAGCGGTCGACAATCTTGATGGCGACGTAGCGGCCGTGCACCAGGTCCTTGCCCAGCTTGACCTTGCCGTGAACGCCTCGGCCAAGCTCGTCGATAATCTCGTACTGGTTCACAATCTTGCGTCCGGAAACGGGGTCGGCCTGGACATCGGCAATGTGGGTCTCCTTGGGCGCCTGGCGGTGGGTATGGTGGAGCCAGGGCGTGGAATAGGTGCCGTCGTCGGGCTGGTCGGGCTCCTGGGAAGGGCGGCGGGTGGTGGGGTTGAAGAGGCCAGGGCTGCTCACCGGTGAGTTGCCAACAGTGCGTGGGGCCGACTCCATAATGTCCCTGTAGTGCTCGTGGGAGAGGCCGAAGGCGCCGAGGCTGGACAGCGAGTTGGCGGCCGAGTGGGAGGGGTGGGAGCTGCGGGAGCGTACGATGGGCGGGACATAGGGCTGGGGGTACTGCTGCAGGTGGAGGGCAGCATAGGACTGGTTGGGGTAGACGGGCCCATCGCGGTGGCGGGGAGGGAGGGCGTAGGGGTGAATGGGGTCGACTGAGTTGGCCCGCACCGTCACGTTGCTGGCCGTCGAAGCGCTCGAGAGGTCTCGCATGAAAGCCGGGCGGTCGGGGGGAGGTGCAGCGGCGGGCGCGGCCTCGTTGACGGTGGAGAGCGAGGCCTGCGAGGCGTGGGCGCTCGTGCTGGGCGAGGGGTTCGAGGACGCGGGCGTGTCGCGGGGGATGGGCGACGAGTAGATTCGGAGGGGTTGTGGAGAGAAGTACGAGGGCTCTGGGTCGAGCGTGTGTATCTGCGATAAGAGGCTGGCGTTGAGGGCCTCTGGCACGGAAGGCACCTCGGAGCGGGGCGTGCAGTCGTTCTCGTCGTCCTGGCCTTGACTCGGCGGCGACGCGCCATGTTGCTGCTGCCCTTCTCTTTCTTCACCAGATGCCTCTGGTGCTTCTGGTGCCTCTGGTGCGTCCGCGGTCGGGGGGCACACAGACGACGCCGGCGACGAGTGCGCCTGGTCGTCCCGCACTTCCCCTTCCGCTGTCAGGCCCGCATTCGGGTCGACCATGGCAACCACAGCTCAGGACGTGTCAGCTCAGCAGAGGCGTGCAACCATGCCAGCCCGTCTACGGTTTGTCGAGGCGCACGTCGTGGGCGGATAGTCTCATGTCGCGCTGGGCTGGGCGGCGGCGGCGGTGTCACAGCGAGGGCAATGGCGTGGGTGCACTGGTGCTGTGAATCGACGTCGGGGTGAAGATGGTGGCAGTGGGCCGTGGTGGGCTCAACGGCTCGATATGGATTTGGTTGAGAGACACGATCGGCTCACTTGCGCTTTTCCCTCTGGGGCAGTGATGGGCGGGATAGTCAAGAGTATTTCGGGCCCCATAGATGACGCTCTGAAGCGGGAGAGACACGCCGGGGCTCGCAGCAAAAGGTGGAGACGCTATGTATCGCGCTGGGCGTAGGCGAAGACGCAGATAAAGGCCGTCAGGGCAGACAACGAGGCGCTGCACGGCAAGAGGGCAATGGCACCGGCGACCAGAGGCCTACAATGCGCCCGGTGGAGCGATTTCTTGTTGAGCGAGCCACGAGCGATATGGGCAACTTTTTGTCTTGGGGGATCTGCCACTCGACGGCAGCGAGAGTATCACCTACATGGTGCTAGCATGCAGGTGACAAGAACGGGTATGGCTGCATGCACTAGTCCCTCCTGCCCTCAACAACAGGTGGCGTTCAGCTGTTCGAGGGTGTGGTTCGTTTGCAGCGCCCTCGTCCAAACTGCTCTGCGCAGCGCCATCACCATGTGCCTGTGTCCTGATCCCAGCTATGTGCGCGCATGGGTCGCCTCTGCCGCCTCCGGTTGCGTCGGCACCCGTCACTTGGGCCCATGCAGCAGCCATTAGATGAGGAAGCGCGATAAGCACCCTGGAGAAACTCTAAATCCCTCCCTGCAACATCTGCCATCATAGCACATGGCGACTGACGGACCCTCTCTAGCACAAGCCCTTCCCCAGATTTACCCTCGCTGAGCGTCAGGTACTCGCTTTGCTTCTTCGTTCCCGCTTCGATATCGCCCCAGGGCTGCCATGTCCAATCTCACGCTATGGCTGCGTCACTGGCGCGCCCCGTATCGTCATTGTTGGGCCGGCACACACAGCCATCGTGCCACGAGCATCCAAGGGGGGGGCAAACTGACGGCTGGCAACAATCCCATCCAGCGTCCTCGCGCCCTGCTGCCTCCCCCTCGCCATGCCACGATGGCGCTCCAGACCGCCTGCAGTCAGCGGTAGATTATCAATCGTGACCTATCGTGAGATTGACCGGCCTCGTACGTGCACAGTCGCACGGCGGTGCATGCTGCAGAGGGCCAGCGCAGATGAAGCCGAGTCTAGGCGCCGCCCGTCTCCTCAGCAATCATCGTGAAAGTCCTAATCCGGTAAGGCACGCAGCATCAATTTTCTGCACCGGGGCGCGCTTGAGCTTGGATGCATGACAAACGTGACTGCCTGTGCAGCGCGCCAAGGAGCTAGACCATCGGCTTCGCATCCTCACCTCTGCTGCGAATCTCATCTCACTCTGCTCGCCAACCATTGCCCCGGCCTCCCGCCTGTGCTCCTTGTTTCTTGCTCTATTACCCAATGCCGACCCGCTCCAACGCTGCGAGGGACACGAATCCGAGCGGGACTGGTGCTCCACCACGCGCTCCGTCCAACAGCTATCGTGACTCGACGCTAAACATCTTCGCTCTGCTGCTTGCCTTCCGCATCGTCAACGCACTAACCCTGCGCTCCTTTTTCCAGCCCGACGAGTTCTTCCAGTCCCTCGAACCTGCATGGCAGCTTGCGTTTGGCCCCGCCAGCAATGCCTGGATCACCTGGGTAAATCCACTTCAGAGTGCTCCAGTATCCCCAGTCCGCTCACCGTGGCCAGGAATGGAGATCCCAATTGCGGTCGTCCCTGCATCCAGCGCTATTCGCTGCCGTCTATCGAGTCGCGGCACATGTTGCTGACCTCTGTGGCTTGACCTTGCCTGCTAAAGCCGAACTACTCCTAGCTGCCCCGAAAGTTACCCAAGCCGTCTCTGCAGCCTTGCTTGATTGCTACACATGGAAACTTGCGGAAAAGGTCTACGGTCGTGGCAGTCGCACTGCCCTTACTACTGTACGCGACCATCCCGCAAATTTAACGCTGCAATCTCTGATATTTGATCCCACCTACTTCTAGCTTGCATTGTCTGTCTGCAGCCCGTGGCAGTGGTTCTGCGCGACCCGAACATTATCCAATTGTCTTGAGACTACCATCACTTCTGTCGCTATTTACTATTGGCCTTGGCAGGGTGCAGCAACAGCTAGCAAGGGTCAGACGCATATTGCACACCACGACCTCGGCTCCCTCTCAGAGTAAGTCGTGGAATCAAAACACCCTTTGTCTGCTCCGCCACCACTTTAGGCTCATGCTCGTGCAGGTTGCGCCTGTCACTGCTGTTGGCAGCGCTCGCGTGTATTCTCCGGCCCACCAATGCACTCATTTGGCTGTCCGTATCCGTCCCAGCTTTATGGCAAGCCTCACATCGGCTGCGCTATGTGTTGGTCCGTGAGATCCTGATTTGCGGGTAAGCCTTCCCTCTCCTTGCATCCGCTGCACGTTTTTCGTCCCCATAGTGCAAGGCTCCATTGCCGGGCTCTGCGTTCTCTGCAGACTACCGTGCCCCGAGGTCACCAGACCATAATCCGACTGACGATGCTAGCTCCGCCGTCCTGGTATTGTCAGTCGCGACCGATCGGCTCTATTACAGGGTCTGGACTCTTCCGCCGCTTAGATTTCTCTATTTCAACATCGCTCAGTCGTTAGCCGTCTTCTACGGGAGGAACCGCGGCGACTACTATTTGACCGAAGGTTTGCCGTTGCTCCTCACGACATCGTTGCCATTTGCCGTTGTTGGCCTGTGGCAGTCGTTGAGGGGCTTAGAGCCACGTAGCCCAGCCAAAGGCGACAGCCCGGGTAATACAGCAGCTTCAGGTCAAGATACTGCGGGCAGTCAGATACTAAGCCGTCTGTCATGGACGGTGATCGTCATGACTGCTACGCTGAGTTTGATATCGCACAAGGAAGTTCGCTTTCTGTACCCAATCCTACCCTTCCTTCATGTCATCGCCGCCAGGCCACTCAGCAAGTTTTTACCTCCTCGCGCTGCGCTATCGCACAAAGCAGTCATTCTGTTCTTGCTTGCTGTAAACATCCTACTTGCAGGCTATGTCTCTCAAGTTCACCAGCGGGGAGTCATCGATGTACTCGCCCATCTCCGCCATAAACATGAAACGCGCAACAGCCTATTACACGTCCATGGCAATAGCGATAGTAACGTCGCTGCTGTGACCAATACAACAGTCGGCTTCCTCATGCCCTGCCACTCCACACCCTGGCGCTCCCACCTCATCTACCCTGAAATCTCCGCATGGGCTTTGACGTGCGAGCCACCCATCGACATACCCCTCTCACAGCGCACAACCTATCTCGACGAGGCGGATGAGTTCTACATCAAACCTGGCCCTGTAGCTTGGCTCCGAGCCAATATGGAAGATGTACAGACGATCAAGGCGAGTGGAAGTAGGTCTGGTCAGCATTGGATGCGCCAGGATCCAAAGTTTAAACGCAAGTACCGGCGTGAGTGGCCGCAGAACCTTGTTTTCTTTGAGCAGTTGGAAGGGACGCTGAAGGAGTATCTTGAGGGCACTAGGTACCAGGAGTGTTGGAGGGGTTTCAACAGCCACTTCCATGATGACTCGAGGAGGACTGGTGATGTGGTTGTCTGGTGCTTGGATGGCGTGTGAGGCGCAGACTGCACTCTTGTATAACACTGTAGCAATATAACTCTACTAGTAACATTATCTGTGGATCATCTAGATAATGTGACCTCCCATCAGTGCTCCTTTACATACCACGCAAGATGTCATCTCATCTATCTGATCCTCGTCCTCAAAATACCCAGGTCAACTATCCATGCCATCCAAGTGTCTTCGACTTATCCCTTCCTTCCCCCTGAGCCCAAAAGCCACATCGCGACGATTTCGTGACAACGAAACACGCCCAGTACCCAAGAACATCGAGCAGCAACCATCCCATCGCGAATTTGCGTAAACAGCCCAAAAATTATGTTGAAACTCAAAGTCCACATCACAACATCCACACTCAGTAGATACCACAGTCAACCACCGCGTCTCAAGCCCCCAAAACAATGACCTCATCGACCCTGCAGATCCACGACCCACAACCCAAAAACCACATCTGGGGCAAACACTGCCCTAGATCCCAGCAGACCGGATACCCGTCCCCGTACCTGACAATGACGATCCCTTGCCACAGACGTACACGCATGTAAGTCTAGAACACCACGATCGTCAGGGCAACGAAAACGGGTGTCGGTCTGGACCTCAAAAGACGTTTTGGGTATGGAGAAGAAGAAGAAGCAATGTGATGATTAGTGTTATAGCTAGGCGGGGACCCGAATCGGACCCTGACGCTTGAGCGGAGGGAAGGGAAAACGGAAGGGAAAAGTAAGACCACTGGGCATATGTACCATCGTTTTTGGGACCCGGGGGGAAGGTCGTTTGGGGAAAAGTAAGGTTATGAGGGGAAACGCAGGGCATGTCATGCAAAGGAAAAAGGTGAACAGGTCTAGAGCCTACATCGACGTTAGGTCACCTACTTTGCATGTTTCCCATGTTGATGTAGGCTGCAGACCTGTTCAGTATGTTCCTAGCTGGACGTGGGGCTCGCAGGCTTCACGGCAGCAAAAAAAGATCGATGAAAAGTCTGGATTCAGTGACTGGAGCTCCTCGTATGAGCCGCACAGTTTGAGATGTATTGATTTTTCGCGTAGTATAACATAGGGAATAGGTTCCTGATAAAACCGATGTTCTTTATCGGCAGTTAACCCCCTTCTTCCGATAACAACAGGAACGAGTAATGTTCAAAAGTTCGAAAGCAACAGACCAACCCAATGCACAATGAAAGAAAACACATCTCGCTTGGAGATAAGAGAAGCCATTTTCTCCGCCCCAATTAAAAAGTATTCCGAGTTCAACGCCATGATCCCAATGCCCGTTGTTGATGATATGCTTCTTGAGAGCCTGGAACGCCGCGCTGAAACCTCAACTGAGCCGGCAAGTGATCCGGCATGCCCAAATGCTCCCTTTCGAACGCCTAAGAATGCAATATGACCCAAGGAAAATATCAAGCCAAAGCGACTGCCTTTGCACTGGTGCTTGAGCTGACTGAAGCGGGGGGTGTGGGTGGTGCCATATCGATCGCAGGCGCAACCCAGCCCTCCTTGCGAGCAATCCACATGACCAAGTTGAGGTCGAAATTCTCGAAAAAGACCTCATCGAGGAAACGAGCCTTTGCGCCGGCGTAGGTATGGTATTCCTCGCGAACTGTCTCTGGGTCGACGCCGAGGATCCTCCGGAAGCAGGCGATGGTGCATCCTGTGCGGTGCTTGCCCTTGTTGCAGTGGACGAGGATCGGGTGGTTGGTACGATCCATGATGAGGCGCAGGGCTCGTGACATTTCGCACGATTCGACGCGCACTTCGCCTTTGTTGGCTTTGACGTGAACGTGGAAGTGCTGTATACCAGCCTCCTTCATGAAGTTTTGATACTCGGGTGAGAGTGGCTCAGGAACCAGGGTGAGGATGGTCTTGATTCCGGCTTCCTTAAGGTATTCGTAGTTCTCCTCCTTTGGATAGCTGCTACGATAGACGCACCCAGGGAGAACTGTGCCGTAGTTTGATGGAGGAGTGAGTGACTGTAGGCGTTCGGGTGCCGAACGGATGGAGACGGCCGGTGTGAGAGTGCCGTAAGACTCGGCTGTGCAGGTGATGGAACACTGGTGACCCTGAGGGTCTACGACGACCTTTAGATCCTCGTGCGTAGTCTCGCCGGCGTGCTGAATGAGCCCATCGCTTGCAGAGAGTCCGAGAGAGGCGACAAACTCCCTGATCCTTTCGAATACGCTCTCCTGAGCGTTCTGGTCCTGGCTAGGGGACATGGCGGAGTCTCCGTTTGACGAAGACATGTTGAAGCGCTGCGGAGCTTCGGGTTCGAGTATGGAGGGTATCAAAGGTATAGGTATGAGCTCAGCTTGTGTTGTACTCGGACGATTTGTCCTATACCCTTCACAACGCGGATTTTCGGATGCGGAGGTGCTTGGTGGTAGGCCTTGTCGAGTGTCCTTGTGTGCGTTGAGGGTTTGGAAGTCTGACTTGGGAGGATGCTCGAAGACAAGAGACACGGGGGCAGAAGCCGACGCGGGCAGCCTATAATCTAATCAGCCAAATGCTCGTACGTTAGGAGGATAGCTCCGAATTCGCGAGCTATGGGTCGTCGCCGCTGTCACCCACGGATCCGGCGGTCGTGTCGAGCGCGCGGCGAATGGAAGGGCATGCATTGAAAATGCGGCAGTTCACACAGCGTTGATGACAGTGCAGCTTCCAAGGTTGCGTGAAAGGGTGAAACTTACTTCGCTGTTACCGGCTGGTTACAGGACACATCTTGCGAGCGTCTTGCGGTGATGCAAAGAGGCGTTGATGTTCATTGTGAGTGAGTGAGGTAGGTAGGGTGTACTGTGGGCGGAGTGGTGTGCGCAGTAGACGGATATTTGTGTGGTGATGGCTCGGGGCGGTAGCGAAAGATGTCAGCCGTAGTTCGCGGGGAGAGAGAAGTAGTGTGTTATAATGAAGGCTGGTGTTGTGGAAGAAATCGGGCGGGTCGCCCTAGCGCGCCTTTCACTGGTCCGAGCCAGATGCGTCGGAATCAATCCGCTGGCTTGGACCGCCGGTTCCAGGGTCCGCCAAGCGCCGTACGTCACTTGCCGCACCTTCCCAACGGTACTTTGGCTATGCAGGAACGCAGAGCATATAATTCATCGATAGCAATCTGTGGGCTGTGTGCTAGTTCAGTCTTCTGGTACCAGCAAACAGCGCGCGGACCCCGCACCAGTCTTGTCGTGCCTTGCCAAATGACGGCAAGCACAGAGCAAGCGCCAGTAGCACCTGGGCAGTGGGCAAGCTTCGCTAGATTCGCTTCTGTTCCAAGGCGAACCGCCCCGCCGCATGGCTCCGACCTGGGCGGCGCGTCTCAACACTGTCTCGCTCCCGTGCCTCAGCGACAGGCTTGATACTTTCCAGCGCCGTTGACACCGTCATCGCTCCACTCGCAACCTACGGAGCGGTGGGTCTCTAGTGCTTGGGTGAACCACGACGTGTTCGCCAGAACCGCGCGGAAGAATCGGCACAGAAGAGACGCCAATAACACAGTAAGCGCATCAAAGCATTACTGTGGACGGCAAATACCAGTAGGCGAAGCTTATGGGCTGTGTTCCCAGAGCAAACCGACTATCCGAATACAACGATATCATACTTCGCCTTTGCCCAGCTTCTATGCCATCATCAAGGCAATATTCATAGCCGTTCATCCCGAGTTCTCCTGCTGTCCGAGTCTTGTGGCCGCTTCCTCATCATTGCAACCACGTAGCCAGGGCCTGGACGCTCAGTGGAACTTGGCCGAAACTATCTCGAAATCTCTATGACGACTCCCCGACATTCCGTAGACATCGGCGTATTCGAAGGGGTCAACCGCAGACCGCAGTCGGAGTTCGCGGCACGATTTCGTGAAATTTCTCTGAGTTGAATATTTCAAAGTTCCATCGCACCACTTTCACGTGAAGACTCTCGTGATCGGCAGCTAACCATGAAAGGCTAAGCCTCATTTCCCCAGAGTCTGTGCGTCTGACCTGCTGGACCTCGGTCACTCCACCAAATACAGTAAACATCGTGACGTTTCTCACATCCTCAGCGTATCCCAGTGGCCCCACGTTCTCCAATTGAGCATCATGGAGGCTCCACGCGCGACATCCCGATCGCGTCGCTCCTACCCGAACCTCCACAATCTCTCCATAGCCCCGCTCAGCGCCAAATACCCTCTCGATGCATCCGTACCACCTTCGCCCGACGAGCAAGGCACGCGCACTCCTCGGACGTCGTACATCGCGCAAAAGTCGGCACCTACAACGCCAGGTGTTTTAAGCCTGAGCCAAAGCCGCAGCAGTTCACGGCAGCGCCCGAAGAAAGCCTACGCATACGACAGCTACTTCGTCAACCCCCGTGCCGAAGTTCGCGATGTTGGCGACATACCAAAAGCAAAGAGTACCAGTGTTCTGCACCCCGGCGTCAGCTTTGCCGACGAAGTCCTCGGAGTAGATGATGGGAAAAAGAGACATCATTCGAGGAAAGGCACAGCGCCTCTACCTCTACACTCACCACTCGTAAAGCATCACACCAAAGAGTCAAATGAAGAGTGGCTGCACCGCGCTGGCTTGGCAATAGCTGGCGAGACGAGGGATAGCAAGGGTCAGGGTTGGCTTGTGAGACGAGAGAGCTCCACCAGTCTAGTCGGACAAGGTGACGAGTACGAGAAACGCTCGTCACATGAGGATAGGCCCATGGCTCTACTCTCTGGCGAACATGTCGGTGACGCGGACTTTCCTGTGTTCTTCTCCCCGCGCATGTCCAGGGTGGGGAGTCGTATCCCCAGTCGCGTAGGCTCCCGCGTACCCAGCGCACGGCAGAGTCGACGGGGTAGTAGAGTAGGCAGTCGGGCCGATCTCATGATGTCTGCCGGATCGAAACCGCCGTCAGGAAGAGCCAGCTTCGAGATCTCTGAGCTAGATGAACGCTTCATTGAGCCTGACTTCATCGAAGCAGACGAAGAAAGCGATGGCGATGAGGAAGAAATCGCTCGTTTGGCGCGCGAACGCGGGTTCGGGCTGGGAGGTT